AAAAATGGACAGACTTGCCGTCTATTTGGATTAGAAAGGAATCTTCATAGTAAATTTTTTACTAATTTTTCCTAAAAGATTTATAGCTAGTCTGATCCCTTGCCGTCCCTCTTTAACATACTTCATAAGCAATTAATTATAAGTTAATTAATTCTTAATTATAGATTATCGCTTCGAGCCATGAGAATGAAATCGAGTTTAATAGAGAAAATACAATACCCATCCAAATAACTAACAATTTCTCAACTAATTCTTTCAAATAATTAAAATGGATACAGTCAATGCATCGATTTAATATAAATTATACGATGCTATAGACATTACTTCTTCCTTTTTCTTGAATGGGATTTTCTGGATGTCCCAGAAATAAGGCCTCCAACTCTATGTTATAGCCTTCATGCCCTCGATCCGACGGTCCTCATTCTCCCACTTGTCGTTACTGTGAACAACAAAGTCAAGGATGCTTCCAGAAACCGTCTAGGTTCTTCCTAGGAAGATTCCTTCTTTCTTTTTTGTCCTACTGAGAGGATGATCACTGGCCATCGTCTGTGGTGTTAGATCAGAAAGGTGACCACATCTAGTTTCGAGGTTGGCCTAACCTAACTTGATGACACGCTTATAGAGTTTTCCGACCTGAAATACTGCGTAAAGTGTCTTTCTTGCTCGGTGGTTCGTCAATGAAGTCATTCTGGATCCCTGACTCATCTCATTCTGAGCCTTTGGTCAGTTTGACATTGGGTCAAATCTGCCGTCTGGGCATCGTCCCTTCTCTTGATCTACTTCGGTTACAACTCGATAGTGAGTTTTGAGGGTCAAGTAAGGGATTGGGTTGAGAGGAGGGTCACAGTCCTGCTATATACGAGATACTTAATAGCTAAGACGAACAAGTGATGTAATTTGATCCAAAATTAGCTGACATTACATGTTGTTGTAAATCGGTCCAAAACCATAGAACCTCAAACAATTGCTTCAAATAATTCAAAATTTAAGTTTTATGAATTCAATCTTTATCGTGTCTCAAATATGAAGTATTGTTCCCTTTATTGAATAGCATAAGTACCATCAACCATGTATCAAATTTATGAATAGAATTTATGTTAAAGAATGACAAAAGTCACATTGATAGTTAATGGGATGGGTAGAGTACTCCTTATAAGGCTTGGACAATTTTCCTCCTTTTGAACTTGCTTTTGGGGTGTGAGTTAAGCTCAAGACCTAATTTCACATGGTATCACAGCAAGGCTCATCTCACCCAATGTTGGAGCCCAAAAAATCAATATTGTCCATGTATCAGATGTTTGAAAGTTCTCCATTATATATTGTTACAAGAATTTTATTTCTTCTCCTTTTATTACAAGAGAACATTGTTGACACCCAATTTTGGCCCTCCACAATATAAATTAATCATCAAGCTTCTTCAATTTCAAACAATTTAAAATAATTGGTTTTTAAATAAAATAAATATAGTTTGCAAGTTATTTTAAATAGTTTCATCACTTTTTTTTTATAATTTTTTAAATAATATATATGTTTTACATAATTATGTAAGTAATTAGTATATTTCATGAATATTCAAAAATCGTCTCAGAAATAAGTAAATTAGTTTTACTTAAATATCGTGCCAATTAGTTTGGTTTAAGTAATATTTTATATTTTTTAACTAGTTAGTTTATAATTAAGTTTATTAATTTATTTTGTTAAAATTAAGAAGTTTGTTAACTAATTATATATTAACTCATCTTATTTTAATTTTGGCCGAATTCAACCAATTGCCTCAACTTGGTCGAAATTGCAATATTACGTGGTTATATTCTTAAGACCGAATTCTTGAATTACTTTTCAAAACCCGTTTTCATCCAATTTCCAGACTCAAATCTCAGCCCACTAAACAATTCCAAACACAATTTTCAATCATGCCCACTTTTAACACCCATCAGCCCATTTTTCAATTCCCAACCCATCAAATAAATACCCAATTCAATTCCATTTTCAGCTTTCTAATAAGCCCAACCATACCCAAAACCCAAGCCCACAACAATACAATACATATAACAACAATACCATACGTACATACAATACACAGCAATTCCAAAACAAACCCAGAAACCAAAATCCCATCAGCATTCCCAATTCCAGCATGCGACTCTACTATCCCATTATCATCTTCTTCATCCAGCAAAAATCCCAGAAAATCCGAAAAATCCCACCAAATCGCAGAAATCCAGCAACCTTATTCAAAAGGGAACTTCAATTTCAAATTCAAATTCCTCCTTTCCATTCGATTTCCCCGCAAAAATGATTGTTCTTTTCCCCTATATAAACTCTCGACCAGTCAGTGTTTGAAGGTTTTTTTTTTTTTTTTTTTTGGTTTTTTCTTTGGATCGAAAATTGGATTTTATTTTGACTAATTTGCTATTCTAAAAAAACAGAGAATTTTCATCAAGAAATAGGAGTGTTGAATAGTTGAAATACCACTTTAGGTTTAAGATTTTCTCAAGGGAAACGTCCTTCCCTTTGTTACTTTCGAGCAGTTCACCGAAACTCATCTCACAGTGTTGGAAGTTCTTCGTGGTTAAGCTCGTCGTCCCAGTCGCTGCCCAGAAAAAGGTAATATCAGTTTTCCTTTGTTAAATTCCTCTATATCTCGTATTTCCATTATTTGAAATTTTCGATTTTGATCATGCTGCTGCTGTTTTCTTTCTGGTTCCCTTAATGATGATACCGAGTTGTCGTTTTGGCATCTGAATATAGCTAAGTGTTACTCTTCTCGCTGATGAAGTAATATGTTGTGCTATAAATTTAGTTTAAGCTTGTTTGAATTTGATTACTGTGATTTATTAAACCATTGGCTCGTGATTGTGAGTTTGTGACTCATGTGCTAATATTAGCCAAAAGTTATCTTACCTTGTTTCTTTTCTTATATTATTGTTGGTATATATGTATATAAAGGTACTGTTGTCTTTTCCCCCAAAAAATCTTGATATTCCTTGTCTTGATATGGGTAGTTATTTGTCCTTCTTTGTTTAATATAGAATATTGGTACAAATCCAATTGTCTTTGCGATTATTGAAGCTTCTCTTCAACTCATTTCATTTTTGCTTTTTCCCAGTTAACTTTTGTCCCTTTGTTTGTTTGGTGTTAGATTCCTTACTCTTTTCATGAACTCACACTTTGTCATGTTGGGAGTCATATATGTTGGGTTTATGTTGTGACTCGTGCTTATTGTTCGAGCTAGATTTCAACATGATTTAGAGTCGGAAATTACATGATGTTAGTTTATTTGTGAATTAAGATCGGATATTGATAGTAGAGTTGTAATAAGGTAATTTTAATAAACATGGGTTTGAAATCACCAATGTGCTCCTTGAGATTTGCCATTTTGTTGGTTTCTTTGGGAAGCATATTTCTATAGTATGATTTGTATGGCGTTTGGCTATTTTTGGTGGTGTAGCATTAGATCATTTGCTGAGCTTTAATTATTATAGTTCAATTATTTTGGGCTTGATCATGAATAAGCTAGAGTTATAAGGAACACATATCTTTTGGTTTGGCAATGTTATCCGTTACTAGTTCATAACCCGATTAGCTTTCCTTTTATCATATATATATATATGAATAGTAATCATTCTAGTCTTTGGTTTGCTGATACTTGTCTTGAGTTATCATGGCTTCATCATGTTCTCTTATCTTATGAAAATTTATCTTCTTCTTTGCATGTGATACCAATTCGAGTTCACTTTGGACTCCACTCTTACATATCCTTGAGTCGTTTCGAGTCGTCCTCATATTTATGGTGAAAGAGAAGTTGAAACAGGCCCCGGAAAGTCTGAAAATGGACTGTATACCGGTCATATACAGCTGTATACACTGATATACAGGTCGAAAATGTGGGAATACAGGGCTGAGGCGAGATACAGGTGTTCGGAAGCAAGAGATATATGAAAAGAGCTGATATATACGCTCATATTCACTAATATACACCAGGTGTATACAAAAACGGGTTTGGTATTAACCGCAGAAAATTTTCAGCAAAATTGACCCAAAAAGGGGGCCGAAAGTCATTTCTCCTTTACCTTTAAATTATTTAATTGTCTTTATTTATTGTTTGTTTTTCTTATCATTAACTCTAACTTTAGGATTGTTAATTAGCTTAATTAAATTCCCCAAAAGATGAGTTATTTTCTTTGTGTTGGTTTAATGTTAATACATTTCATGTTTTGTGTTCATTTATTTTAGTGATCAAGTATATTGGTCAAAATTTTAATCTTCAATTAAGTTAAACCTTTTTGTACTTAAAAAGAGACGTTCTTTAATGTTTTTCACTTAATCCCATTTATTCATTTTAAAATTATTTTTAAGTTAAAGTATTTTTCTTAAATAAACTTTAAAAATGTTAGTTAAAACCTTTTCAATTAATTAAAAAAAAAGAATATACACTTACCTAGTCATTTTCTCAAAAAGGTTAGACAATTAATTTAAAACGATTTTCATGCTTTAGTTTATTAAATTGGGTTAAATTACTATTTCAAAATGAATTAAATAAATTTTGATTAATCTATTTTTATTAATAGTCTAATCACTTGTATTTCTAGTCAAATGTTTCATTTTTGTGTCCCTTTCTCTAAAAAAAAATAAAAAAATGTGTCATTTATTTAATTATTTCTTCAAAGTTAATCAAATATTGTAAGTTATTATTTTTTATGTTAAATCATTATTTTCCTAAAAATAGTCAAATATATTTTAGTCAAGTTGCAGGTCAACCGCATGTTAGCGGGCACTTCGAATGCTTAAACCCTTCTCGAAGTGTAAATTGAACCCCGAACCCTCTTTGGTATTTTCAAATGATTTTTTCTGTTTAAATCTTTGAAAATTATAAGTTTTCTTAATTTCTTTAAAAAATTAAGTGGAGACTCTTTACTAAGTATTTTTCTCAAATTGTTTTATACTTAGAACATTTCAAAAAATGATTTTTCTAAAGATAGGAAAGTTACGGCACAACAAACATCCCCTCAATTTATCCATAAATAGTACTCCTTAACAAACAGATTAATACTGAATTTAAGGACAATAGACACACGTAATTAGGTTGTACAAGATTTGATATAACTAAATGACACATACATGATATTACTAATAAATTTATTTGAGAAGAAATTTCTTCATCCAAAGAGCAGAACGCTTGGGGTATCTCTTTAAGTTATTCTTGTAATCTACAAAATTGATGCCAAATCTCTGTGTGTATCCTGATCCCCATTCAAAGTTGTCAAAAAATGACCATGCAAAGAACCCCTTAACATGTACTCCCTCCCTGAAAATTAAATTAAATTAAAAAACAAATATTAATTATACCATTCTAAAACATTAACAAAAACAATTTGGCTTATTTATCTTCTTTAAGGCAGGGGTAAGGTTGCGTTCTCCTAGACTATGTTGACGTTGTTCCTAATTGAAATGACAAAAACTATTTGGTTTAGATTTATGTTTTTCTTTAAGCGCATGTTATACAAAGTTTACTTGGGGAAAATTCGAGATATACAAAAATAAATATCTAAAAAAGTCAAAGGGATTTTGTTATAGATACATAGATTGAAATAAATTATTCTATTTACTTAATTTACTAAGGTGTCAATTGACTCCACTTGAATAAGGACATCTAGCGTTGGTATGTAGGCCCACTGAGGATAAATTGTGCTTCAAAAGGTCTAATGTTTCCCGGGTTCAAACCGAAACCTTTGGTTATAACAAAAGAATTCCAACCATGCATCGATACTACACGCTAATTAAAAAAAAGTACTGACCTAAAAGCCCTATAAAGAGCCTTAATATGGCGTTGGTAGAAATCAACCCTCTGAGCATCATTGATACCTTTTGCAACATCATCAATATTGGACTCACCCATTCCTGATATATAACCAATTTCAATTTAATTAGCAAGTACTATAATTAAGTATAATTCAAACACATTAATTAGTTTATTATTCTATAATTTCACTTACCACATTCTGTGATGTAAACAATTGGATTCTTGTAAAATTTCTTAATATAAACAAGAAGCTTATAAAGTCCCTTTGGAGCAACATAGAATATACTCACACCAGTCTGCATGCAAATATTAAAAATTAATACTATCATAATTTATACTAAGAATATTTGAAAAAAATTGAGTGAGATATATATACTTACTGGATCACCAATCAACTTTCCATTTCGCGATGCTACAAAAACATAAATTAATTTTAAATACTAAGTAATAAACTTTGAAATAATACTTAATCAAATGATGCCACATAAATTGAGACAATAACTTACTTGTTTGATTGACTAGATTATCAGTTCCTGAACTGATATTGACAGTATTTGGTGGTTTAGAAATATGAGCTGCAAAATTAGAGGTGTAATAATTCAATCCTATAAAATCACATGAGTCTTTCACCAACATTGATTCTTTTGGGGTAAACTTTGGTAATCTCTTGCCAACAAGTTTTCTCATACTTGGTGGATAATCTCCATAAGTCAATGGGTGCATAAACCTGTCAACATAATATATATATATATATATATATATATATATATATATATATATTTCATTCACATTTTTAGTTTATAAAATAAGAAATACATACTTATATAAAAGTACACTTTAAATCAAAGTATTTTAAAAAAAAAAAATTACCATCCAAGCATAAAATCAAGAGCTCTTATAGATGCTTGTTTATCCTGTGGTTTGTTGGAGGCAGGCTCGAACCAATGTGACACTACAATAGTTCCTATTTGACCCTTTTGAATTGGCTGCACTTGCGTCACCACCAAATAAAAACAAAGTTAGTAGTAATAATTACTATATTTTTTTAAAAATTACTTATTTTAAGTCAATTCAAACGGAGCACGCACCTTGTATTTTTTCCTGTATAGGTTAGAAGCAGCAGCATGAGCTAGAAGTATGTTGTGTCCCGCTATATAAGGCTCAGTGCCGGAGTTTCCGATGGTGCAGTTATTGTTCTTCCACGCAGAACACCGCCCAGGTGCTAAAGAACCAGAATCATAACCCGTTGATGTAAAAATCCATGGTTCATTCATCGTTGCCCACAACTTCACTCTATCTCCAAAATTTTTGAAACAAATCTCCACAAAATCTACGTAATCATCTCTGTAAGCAGAGGCAGATTCAGAATTTGAACGTAATAGATGAATGAAGCTCTTAAAATTCTTTATTCCAAGCATTCCACGTGACATTTTAATAGCATAATTAGATTAAAAACATTTTGTTACATTTTATCTGTCTTTAGTTTTAATATCATAATATTCAAAAAATTTACATATTTTATAAAAGTTTGTGTCGAATTGAAATCAAACAAACAAATTGAAATGACTTAAGTACTAAAATATCAATGTTTTTCATATATATGTTTATATTTTGTATTGAAAATATTGATTTCAACTGAACGCACGATCAGTAATTATGGTATCGAGTAGAGTACTTACACGATCTTAGGGCTTAGAAAGCCAAGATATTCATCTTCAAGGGCTTGAGGAAGATCCCAATGAAAAAGTGTCACTAGAGGTTTAATACCTAAAATTGCAATTTATAAACTTAATTACTTTTAATAATTCATTTTAATTGCGTGGGAAATTAAGATATAGGGAGAAAAAAGTAATTATTAATTACCAAGGGCTACTATCTCATTTATGAGACTGTTGTAGTGGTCAATACCAGCTTGATTTACTCCTTTTTTAACCTGACCCTCTGGATAATATTAAACACAAAAAATAAAAGATTAATTAATCAACTTATAATTAACAAAAGAATAAATAATATTAATACTAAATTATCTTACTTGGTAAAATTCTTGTCCATGCAATAGAAATCCTGAAAGCATCCAGTCCTTCAAATTTTGCTAGTTTCACGTCCTCCTACATTTGTTTTAAATTTTTTATTAAGATGAAGTTAGAAATTAAAAAATATTTTTTTCGTCTAATTTCTGTTTAACTAAATTAATAATTAATTAGTGGTAGTAGTATACCTTGTAACGATGATAAAAATCCAGAGCTATGTCTCCATTGCTACGGTCCAATATTTTTTCTGCATATAATTCACAATATTATCAGCTAGCGTTTGACAATAGATTTAGTTAAGTTATAACTTTGAAAAAAAAATGAGTTTTTCAAGTTATAGAATACTGTGTTATGAATAAATTACTTAATTATATGACTTAACATAATATAATCTCTAAAAATTCCTATAATTTGAATTAGTTACAACAATTTCCTTTTTCCTTTTGTCTCTTAATATTCGGATAATCACTTCACTTCTATCAAATATATTACAATTTTGTTTGTGTACAATGTATCTGCTGCAAATGTTATTGTCGATACATAACCCCAATTATTTCAAACATATATCGGTATTCAGTATGAATCTGGTTTATAATTATGTATCTAATACATAACTTATATATTTGATACATAATTTATGTATTGTTTGCTATGTGTCAAATGAAAGACCAATGTATCCGTAAATTATGAAAAATTCAAAATTATTATAATTTAATTATTTTTTAAAAATAAAATATAATTAGCTCCTAAATTATTGAGATTTCCATACTTTATACTCTCTCCGTTTCAAAAAGATTGATCTCCTTTCCTTTTTAGTTTGTTTAAAAAAGAATGACCTCTTTCCTTTTTTGGTAATATTTTAATTTCAGTTTTCCACGTGACATGTTTAAAGTCACAAGATTTAAGGGCAATTTAGTACATTTGACATAACTTTAATTTAGAACTACAAAATTTAAAAATCTTCTTTATTTTCTAAAACTCTGTGTCAAGTCAAATCAGATCACTCTTTTTAAAACGGAGGAGTACCATTAATTATTAGCTGTACTTTCACAATACTGTAGCTTAAATATAATGGCGCCGCAGTCTGAACTCTGAGGTCCCTTCCCATATTTCTACTAGTAACAATGAGTATGTCCAAATTATTAATTATTCTATTAAGAGGAAGAGGGACCCATGAGGGAACCAAATATGATTATTTTACCAACCATTATTATTCTATTAGTTCAACAATAATTGTCTATTATATTAAAAATATTTGTTCAACAATATTACTTACTTAATTTAAAAAATCAAGACATAATTTATCTTTTGTGTTTATTTACCTTTGTTATTAAATATTATTTATCATCTAATACATTTCTTAAAGCATCAAATTTAATAAAATAAAAGAATAATATAGTTATTATCTTTATTATTTATTATTTTTTATTTCTTAAAATATGTATTAAGCCAGTAGTGAATGACTATTATTGGAGAGAGAGTATTTATTATTCATTCGATGGATGGGATAATGAATATTTGTCGTTGAGGCATTTTAAATAAAAAGTTAAAATTATTTAATTAACATTATAAATAAACAGTAAAATATGCCGTCTGACTTAACATTGTTGTTTTTCATATTTACAATAACTTATAATTTTGTTGATATTGAATAATTTTTGATAAATTCGATGTGAGTTATCACGGGTCTCTTTATCTTGAATCTTATACTCAAATGTACCATGGATGTGTAAAATTTACCTACAGATATTAAAGGTACCAGGATTTATAATTTCGATAACAGATTCACGTGAATCGAATAATTTTTTTATATTATTTATAAATGCTTAGAAATTTTTATAAAAATTTAACTACTATTATATGTCCTTTTTAGGTCACATTAAGTGAAATATTAGATTATGATATATTTTTTATGAAAGAATATATATTAAAGGTTATTTCTCACTATTATCTTTTAATTTATTTCCAAAATTATTCCTCTAGAAAATACAAAATAACTAAGAACCTTATTATATTAAGAGTAAATAAAAATAAAAAATCTCAATAATTTTTTTTAACCTTTGTATACTTTATTTATTTTAAACTACTAAAAAATCACAATAATTTGCATTATTTGAACTAAAATGAATATATTAATTTAAAGTTAACATAAAAATCCATAAATTTCAAATATCGATATCTACTAATAACATAGATGAGGTCCCGGTCTACTAACCCCACCGCACATGCTGGTGGAAAAGTAACTTTCAAGCTTATTAATCATTGTACTAATTGTATAGAACAAGAATTTGAGTAATTTTTCAAGATAATAATTTATTTGGCTCTGCATAACGTACTAATTATTTCGATTCTAACATAAATAAAAGGTACGGTTTCCAAGTTTTAACTGGCCCCTATATTTTTATTTGGTTTAATCAAACGTTGCTTGATTTGGAAGTTGACTGAACTAAAGTCAACTCTCTTATATGATTATATGTGGGTAGTGCAATATGTCCCTAATTAATTGTCCACTTTTGAATTAACAGACCTATTAAAATAGCAATTTTTGACATAGTGAGTTTATCATTTTACCCCAATTAATTATGAAATGGATGGATTAAAAATTTAAGATTTTTAAGTTCATTAATTAATTGAGTATAATAGGTAAAAAAAATTATTTTTTCTTGATTTGTTAAAATGGACAAATAAAAAGGAATAACGAAAAATTAAAAAAATAAACAAGTAATTAGGTGACAGAAAGAGTAATTAAATGGAAAAGAAAATGTTAATTATAAGAATTGATTAAGGATTAAATGACGCAGTCTTTAAAAATGGGATGAAAAATGCAAATTTAGCATGTGTTTTAATCATAAAATTTGCATTAGATTTTGAAGATGTATTTTGAAAAATTTGTTTGGTCAGAAAATTTAACTAAATTTTGAAAATGTGATTTTCAAGTTATCAAAAACTGACTCAAATTGTTGCCACTTGTGGTAAGTACTTCTTCATTATTAATCAAAGGTTTTGGGTTCAAGTTTCCCGGGATACAGAGTTGCTAATTTTTTGGAAGCATTTTATCCGTCAATGTGAATTTCCGAATCTAAATTTAATCGGACTTCAATATGGATATCGAACACCCAATTTCAAGTTTCAACTTTACAATCTATGGACAAAAAAAGAGTAAATAATGTACACTATCAATGTAAATAATTGTTATATCATCAGGTTATTTTCACATAATGTAGCGAATAACATATTGATTTTTTAAAGATTTCAAATCTCACGTTTTAAAAAAATTTTACCTAAATATTTCTTTGAATGATTTAATGATATAATTTTTTTTTATTTATATCGATTATGTATAAAATTTAAACTCTAAAATTTATGAGAGAGAGAGAGAGAATGTAAGAGTAGAGACCAGGATGAGTGTGGACGAAAGTATCTACAATACTTGGCCCTTTGCCATCTTCATTCCATGCACCTTCATACTGTAAATTAACACAAAAAAAAAACTTTTAATTAATTTATACACATTTATTTTTATTTCCATCGAATGTTCGATACTCGTATTAAAATTTAATTATTTTAGATTCATACGGCATAGGATTGTATTAATTCGAGGGAAAACACTTCATACCAAACATTTTTTCATATCCAAAGCTTAAACATGATATATCTGATTAATAGAAGAACAACTCCATCGTTGGTGGTACGAAGGGTAAAGTTATTACTTAGTACTAAGGTGGAAAACATTATTCTCTGTCTCCCTCCATCTTGTATACATTGCCTCAAATAACTACTTGTCAATGTACAAAATCAAGATACAATTATTAAATTTCACCTATGTTATCCTTAAACTTAATTCTTTTCAAAAATCTAAATATCGTAACATTGTCAAAAAAAAATCCCCCGTTATTAGTTTTATTTATCATTTCTTGAAAAAAAACGTGTAAATGAGATAGTAGACAAATAATATGAGATAGATCGGACTCATCGGACCGGAAGAAGTAAATTACCTGATAGGAAGAAGTGGAAGCTCCAAAAAGAAAATCAGGTGAAAATATAGTACGATTAAATGGATCAGAAATAGTATGGCTTGGCACTTTTGCATTTGCAGCCAAAGAAAACTCTATCATAGACAAAAAATTGGCCAAAAATATCAAAAGGCTAATTGCCCAAAATGAACCTTGAAAAGCCATAGCCAATTATTATCTATATTTTTTCCCTTCTTTGTAACCCTCTTTATATAGAGTTAAAGATTTGGAGGCCAATAATAGACTAAGGGGTCGTTTGGTTAGGTGGGGGATAGAATAGGGAAGGATGTTTTACGGATTGAGATATTTTATGAGATTATTTTATTTTATCTTTCATTACAGATAACTTATCTCGCCATTTATATTAAAATGGTGGGATAAAATCATTTTGGAACTAAATAATATTCTTCCTCTATTCAATAATAGTTGTCAATTATTGACTTGACACATGAATTAAGAAGCAGTAAATGATAGGGGTAATTTTACCAAATCACCCTTATTAAATACAAGTCATCTAAACATTGAAAAATTAACAATATTTAATAACAAGGGTAATATAGACACAAAATAATAAATTATTCATTAGTTTTATAAAGGGATAAGGGTCTGAAAAATACCCCAACTTTGGTCAAATTTGTTGTTGCGATACTAAACTTTCATGAAGACCTATTACCTCTCTAGACTATTAATAGTGTATTTTTTATCCCCTGAACTATTTAATAGTGTATTTTAAAGGTATATATGTGTCCACGTGGACACATTACTATTTATAATTTTACATTATTTTTTATGTCCACGTGGACAAATATATATGTTTAAAATATGGTATTAAATGGTCTAGGGAGGTAATAGGTCCTCATGAAAGTTTAGTATCGCAACAGCAAATTCGATCAAAATTGGGGTATTTTTCAGATCCTTATCTCTTTTATAAACTAAACAAATATTACTGAACATTACAAAATAGTATAGTGGGCAAGTAAAGATGGACAGAGGGAACACTACCTATTACCAAATGCAAAATAAAAATAATCTCAAAAAACATCGCAAAAATTCTTATTCTCATTCCACCGATTAAACAATTCCTAACAGATATTTCTTTCATTTTTCTGTTTCTGTATTATATTATTTTTCAATTTTGCAATCAATATGGACTAACTTTGGTGTGTGTTGGATTGAGGGGGGGGGGGGGGGGTGTATTTATTGAGAAATATTTTATGGCTGGTTTTTAGCTGTATTTGTCCATCATTCAAGCATTAACTCACGTGTCCCAAATGAATAAATTTCATGGCCGCCCTTTAATTTTAAAATTATTTCATTTTTTTTTTATCTTTTTCTCCTTTGTTATAGTATAAAATTAAATTTATTCAAATTTAAAATTTAAAACATGAAAAACTAACACTTAACCTCTTTACACTATATAATTTTCCGATAAAGAGTGTGCACCGAAACAACCTTCGCCTAAGGTGGCTCTGCCCTTGACACTACTTATTTACTGCGTAGTTGCCACTTTATTTAAACTTACAAGTATAACATTTAATTTTGCTAAATAAACAAAATTTTGCCAACAATATTCAACTGGCAGTGGATGAAATCACCTCAAGTACTATTTAGCAAAATACTACATAATAAAGTTAAGAACTTACATGTAAAGAAATTAGACTCTAACTATTCGTCTAGCGAACTTTAAACTTACGCATGCAATTGATACATAAATGAACTAATTAGCTATTTTTTTCTATTCGCTTTTAACCTATTTGAATTTGATACATTTATTAAAAAAAATAAAATTAACATGATTATTTTATTATTTTTTAAATGCTGAAATAGTAAAAGTGAATCTACGGAGTATATAAATTTAAATATATAGAAATCTAACCAGTAATTGGAATGGTCCACTTTATTATTTTATATAAGCATTTGTACGAGTACGACAACTTGTGAGTTTTTCACCAACACATAAAAATAAATACACCCACTTTTTTTTTTTAATTTTACAATTCAATTGTCACAATCATCATTAATTAATAATATAAGTACAATATCATAAAGTCCATAATCAATCAAGATTTCATCTTCAAGTTTCACCAATGTCATTATTATTAAATGGAAAAAAACATAGCAAGCTAGGACGGGAACGTGTAACTAGAGCTGTCAATATAGACTGATCCACTCTATTCGGACTAATTCATACATGCTTTGAAATTTGACGGATCAGGCCGGGCTAGTTCATTTTTGGTGTGAGCCAAAAAATGATTGGCCTAGCCCACAAGTACGTGGGCTACGGGCTTCCCGGGTCAGCTCTCTATTCGTAAAAGTATATTTTTATAAAAAAAATTAATTAAATTATAATTTTAAAATATTATCATAAATATCGACAAGATAATATTACATGATGTTAGTGTTACTACTTGTTAATCAAATCCACAAATAAAATTATCTTTATAATATTTAGTAAGTTGATTTCAAGTTAAGCATAAATTGCTAAATAAAAATATTAACCTAATTGTTTTTCAATGATCATAATAAAACACAAAAACTATGACAATATTCCATAGGATACGGTCTTTGTAGTGATTCCTAGAAATTTTAGGGAATTTTATATTTTATGTAATTCATATTTTATAAACATAATTTGTATTTAAATTGTAATATTTCAAACTTTAAACTGATTTGGAGTTTAGACTCTTGTTATTTTTAATACTCAATTTTATTTTTTTATTTTTTAATTAATTTTTATTTGGCCCACGGGCCGGCTCTATCCATATTTCTAGAGCCCTACAAATCGGCAGGCTTATTCAGGCAGGGCTAGAAAGCCCTTTTCTTAAATGGGCTCCAAAAATCGTAGCCCAACCCTATCAAATCACGGGGTAGGCCAGGCCGGCCCAACGGGCTTAGCCCATATTGACGGCTCTACGTGTAACTAATGTCATGACTTGCTATCCGTGGCTCGGACAAGTGAAGTTTGTTCAAGTGGTTAAAACACTATTGATCTTCTTGTGTGATGGATTTCAAAAATAACTATTTCCTCTGTCCCAATTTATGTAGCACTTTTCGAATTTCGAAATTCAAATAAGTCTATCTTTGACCGTAAATTTTTCATATATCTTTTAATTATTTTGATTGTCAATTATTTTTATTTGTAGTATTTTTTACGTAAATTTACAAATATATAAATTTCATTTCAAAAAAAATGAAAATTTCATACACAAAATTCCTGTCAAACTTGAATTGTTTGACTCCCAAAAATGAAAAGTACCACATAAATTGGGACATGAGTACAAAAAAAAAAAAGAGTTTAGTCACAAGTGGTTGGAATATATCAAATTTGTTTATTATATTTTTAATAAAATAGAATATAAATTTAATTTTAAACTTGAAATATCTCGCCATATCCGTGAATCAAAAGATCCCTCGATCAATACATCATAACAATACTGGTGATTGGATCAGAATCTTTGAAACTAATTGCCAACTATTAATTTGGATTTGCTGTATGAAACGTCTCTTTAAAATATCATCAAGTGTTTGAAAGTTTCAAATCATCAAGTATTTTGAAAGTATTTTTGGACTAGGTCCACCGAATTGTATTGAGGTCAGATTAAATTTAAATTCATATAAAATAAAATCTCTTTATTATGATGTAAACTGTAAAGGATTTTCTAAATAAAGAAATTTCACATAAAACTTGAACACAAAACTTCTGATTAAGAAAAAAATAAAATTATTCTACGATAATCCTTTATTTAAATTGTAAGAATTTAAGCCTAGAACTTTTTTTTTTACGTAAACTATACTACTTAAAAGGACAAGGAGGACGTAGGAGATTAGCAAATCACAATGAGATATTGAAATAAACCCAGCTTTTCTTTAAATTAATAATGTTTGGTAATGCTGATTAGGCTCTTGTATTTTAATTGATTTATTTTGATTCTACATTATGCCATAATCACAATACTTAGCATAATGTTTAATCACAGTTTGTCTTTTCTTTTAACACACACAAGTCTGAACGATGTATATATTAATCTGATTTAATCAAGTTTTTATCATATTAAATTACGTGTCATGATCTGTGCTCACGTTGTTATAATAATAATATTAGTTAAATGCAATTGTATTAATCATACAGATGGAATAATTTGCAATTATTGTTTAATCACTAAGATAAAACTCAAACTTTATTTTTAAAAAAATCAGAGAAGTTACTCGAGATTTTAGTTTTGTAGAACAAAACAAAATTCAAATGATAATATTTTCTTTTGTTCCAAAACTGGCCCTTTCTGGTTTTAAATTATTGGATGGTATGTTTTTTTATATGAATATCTTATCAAATCTTTTTTTTTTTGTTTGTGCCGGAACTCTTTAATATATTTAAATAATGTTGGGTTTTGAATCTTTACAAATAAAGTGTGATGTGAATAAAAAAATCGAGAAAAATATGAACTTTTAAAAATAAAGTGTGATGTGAATTGTATAGAGAAAAATTGAAGTTAAAGTTCATTTTAGATAGAAATTTGTGTGCTTATAGAAATGTTTTTTCTAATTATTAAAAGATTTTATAAGAGAGTTTTCACTTGTATTATTATCATTGTTTGGCTTCACTCTCAGTTTTTATCAATAAATTTACTACTTCTACATAATTTTTTACAAAACAAATATTGGGTTTTTGTGTAATTTGTTACTTTTGAGTTTGACGGAATTATTAAAGTGTGAGGTACCAATAACATATATTCATTTTATTTTGGGAAGAAGTAATTCATAACTTCTGATACAACGAAAGAAGTAAATTTATAAGGATACATAGTTAATTTTTGTGGTTTGAATTTTCTTTTTCTTAAACAGTTTCTAATTTCTATTTTTTTTCAGTTAATAAAACTTTTCTAATTTAATGATCTGAATAACAAATACTAAATACGTTTAATAAAAAGCGAAAACATCATTTAAAAATCTTATTTTTGTCGGTAGATATGAGATGTGCTGTTTTTTAACACTACTTTTAATTATTAATGTGAGATACAGTGATTTTTTTCCATTCTGGCACTCTTTTAAACTTATTTAATTACTAGTGTTCTTAGGCCCCTACTAAGCACGATTTAATATGTGTATAATTTACACATATATGAATAAAATGGAATATATATAGATACATATTTAAAAATATATAATTACACACATATATATTTAGAATTTATATAACTTTTTAAGAAAAAAAATAAATTACGATAGATATTATTATTATTATTATTATTATTATTATTATTATTATTATTATTATTATTGGGTGGGGGGGGGGGGGGGGGTAAAGTTAGTATGGAAGAGGACCTTGGATGAAAGATTTAGAGGGACCCGAATGCAATTCTATTTTTATCGGCATTGCATGTGTTTAAGCTTTTTATTAGGTGGGGTTAGGCTACACCTATGCTATATTTTTTAATTACATGTGTCGATTACTTGATTTGAAATTTTAGTTAGAGTCTCATTGGATTGACTTTAAAAAAATAGTACTAGTTTTTAAGTTAAAATAAAAAGTCAAATTTAAATGATTTTTAAATCAAAAATAAAAAGTACGGAAGGTCTACTTTTGATTTTTAACTTATTTTAAATTATTTTTATATTTATCAAACACTTTCAGAAATAAAAAATTGACTTAAAAATTGGTTTGATCAACTTTTAAGTCAATCTAGACACCCTCTTAGTAGCAAAAGAGTAAGATTATAGTCATTTATGTAAGTTTTACAATTTTAAATAGAATAGTTGAACGGCCTTCTTAGCCCATTTTGTGCAAGTGGAACCCAAAATCCATTTCACAAAAAATGAGGGAATCCTAGAAAAATATTGTCTGCCATGTAATAGATATGCCTCTCATACTAACATGGATTGTGAAGCAACGGTGAGACTGTTTTGCAGTTGATCAAAAATTTCGAATTTGAACCCTAGATATGGAGAAAATCATGTTGAGAGTATTATCTCCGAATGAGCTTTATAGTGCGTGATTCAGATTTATTCGAAGCTTCAATGCAACTCCAAACAACAAACACCAAAAGAAAAACTAAAAATATATATATACATACCTCTCATAGAATAAAATATTTCTTTTCACCTATGATAAAGAAAAAATAAAAGATGATGTTTTTGAAAAAGTTGAAGGCTAAAGTGAAAAGTTATTCAAGAATGGGCTACAGTGATTCATGCATATTTCATGTTGATAAATAATTTCAAGACGCAATCAATGGATAGTATCAATCAACTTTTACGTAGATATTTTAATTAGACTGTATTACTTTAAATACGTTATATTTAATTTTGCTATGTTATTTTAACATTTTTTTCACAATCAGTTGTTGACCTCAAATGTATATTTAACCAAATATATCTAATTAAATGATCAATTATATCATATCAATACATTTAAAGCCATATATCAATTATATTATGTCTAATTCGTGATCTTTATCGCCATATCCTTTCTGATTTGATTGTCTTCTTCTTTACACCTCCTTTTTATTTGATTTGGTGTTTAAAAGTATGAATGTCAAATTTAAGAAGTGATAATGTCGGCGTGAATATGATAGTTCGGAGTGAGTGCAACAAATATCATTTCATACATCGTGAAGTAGACAAAGCACATGACTTTGTTACCATGAGCCGATTGTTCATCATTTTCATCAATAATCATATCATCACTTTCATATTCACTGAATAGTCCATCACTACTTTGGCGTTTACATAAAAATTAGGGCTAACCCATCGCTGGCCCCCTAAACTTGGCATCAACTTTCACTTAGACACCTCAATTAGGCGATGTTCATTTTAGACACCTCATGTAGAGTTTCGTTATGTTATTTTGACTCTTTTCGCTGACTCAACATAGCATGTGTTACACGAATTTTATGCGCGTGCAACACTCTTTTTTTTCTTGGAAAATATTTTTGCTCTCTTCTTCTTCCTCACTCTTCTCTTCCTGTACTTCTCTACCTTCCATCACCCAACATCACCATACAACTTTTTGAAAAAATTCTGCAAAACTTTGTTGGGTTATATTAGAATCCAATTTCTTCAACAAAAGAGTCAATTTCTTTAGCAACCTCATCAGAAAAAATGAAGATCATCAGCATTCTCTAAGAATTTGCAACTCTTTTTCTTTTTAAAATCAAATCACATAAAGTTTAAGCTCTTCTACATTAATGTTGTCTGCTACTGTAACTAAAAATCTCCCGCCCCCAATAATAATGAGAAGTTCTCTTATTTTCAGTGTTCTTACTGAAAATTCCTAATTTTCAGTGTCTGAAACAACGAAAATTGGAGGAACAAGCTATTACATCGTCTACATCTTCACCATTTAAATAACTAAATCCCCAACATTTTTCCATAGCATTCCTAACTAAATCCCATAACATTTCTCCATAGCATTCATAACTAAATCCCCAATTTTTTCCTCCGTCTGCATCTTCACCATTTATATAAGATTGTTATTTTTGTTTCAAGATGCAGTTTTGATTTAAATAAAAAAAAGAGGAATCAAGGAATGGATTTTAATGGATTTGCAGAAGAACAAAGAGAAAGAACAAAAACACATCGAAGAAGAAGCAGAAGATGTGGGGGGGTGAGGACTAGGGTTAGATGTTTTGAAGAAAAAAAAAGAAAGTAAAAGTGAGTTTTTTAAAAATAAAATAAAATTCCACATGTCACATGTTCATTCATTTATTTATCCACGTAGGAGGCGTTTGGATACACACACTTAAGCTAGTTCTAAGAATATAAAAAAAGTGTCAAAATGACACATTGAAACCCTACATGAAGTGCCTAAAATGAACATCGTTTAGTTGAAGTGTCTAAGTGAAAATTGTTGCCAAGTTTAGGGGGCCACCGATGGGTTTGGCCTAAAAATTATGTAATATAATGCAAACAACTACTATAGAGGGTGTTTATGTAAAAAATAAAAATTTGGTGTAGAATTTAAATTTTTAAAAGATTCCAAATAATGAAATTTGACCCAAACACTATTTTTTCTAATATTTGAAAATTTGAGTTATTTGCCAAAAATATTTATCAAATAATAATAAATTATATGGAAAAACACTATTTACCAAATTTCCCTCCAAATTTTACTTGGCCAAATGGGTCCTTAGTTGGGGTGTCTAACTGAAAGGTAATGGCAACTTTAGATAGTCATCAATAAGTTTAACCTATTTTCAAGTATCAAATAAAGTATGACACAATTAACTATTTTATATTATTTAATGCATGTTCATTTGACATAAAATATTTTTTGTTAGGAGTTATCTTACTAAAGTAACTTTATTAATAATATTTTAAAATTATAAATTTAATTATGCATTATTTTATACCGTTATTTAATATTATATTAATATGCAAAAAAATTCTTATTTTACTATAATAACAAATAAAATGACTTTTAATTTCTACTATAGAGCCAGGTAAATGAAATGTTCCCTCCGTTTCATATATTTGCTCATTTTCTCCTTTACATGTCCTTAAAAAATCACAAATATTTCTATTAATTTAACGTTTATCTCTTTTTAATTAATACTCTTTATACAATTTAGGCGGAATACATAAACAGATCTCTAAACTTGTTGGGATTTTCCCCTCAGGTACCTCAACTACGCCATTTTCCTATTGAATCCTTGAACAAATTATAGATGGTTTAAGGATTCAATAGGAAAATGACGTAGTTGAGATACCTGAGGGGAAAAACCCAACAAGTTTAGGAGCCTATTTATGAGTTCCGCCTACCATTTATGTTCTCATCCATCAATACCTAAATTAACAAAAACATCATTCAAAAAAAAAAATTAAAAGAAAAATAAAAAAAGTTTAAATTAATTTTATAAAATTCAATAATATGAACAAATAATATGAATAATCAAACAATTTATCAAATGAAGATACTCTTGTATGTGCCCATGTTATCATGACCTTTTCAGTCATATAATAGTCTAGTCTATAGAGTTGGTAACATTTACAAAAAATACGGGAAACTATAGTAATAAAAATATGACATTATAATATTTTATTTGAAGATATAACTAAAGAATTTTAAAAATATTTGGAGTACAAATTAGATGATTCATATGGGGACTTTATCAGTAAAAAACTTGAAACCCTCCGACTTTTATTGTTTTGTTTTGAATTATAGATTTAAAAACCCAACACAATTGGTTTAATTTGGTAACCCTTCTGCAAATCTTGAAATTATCAAATATTGTGAAAGAGAAACTTTTAACTATAGTTTTAAATACAATGCTCAAGTTATCATCTAGCACCAGCATTGAACTACAAAGGGTACACTGCTTCTATGAAACTGCATTCTGTATCTAGCTTGACAGATTCCGAACGTTGAATCGATGGTCAAGCCACTCTCTGGTGGATCTTTCACATCTCGGAAAATGGAGGACGGGAAAAATCAAACCCAAGATCCTCATAAGATAGCTACTATGATTATCATCAATGTAGAAGAATTTATAAGGAGGCACAAATCAGATACTGCAGCTTACTCGGATCAGTGGTGTACAAAGCAAACCATTTTACTCTTAACACTAGGGTAGACAACATAATCAGCTTAAGGCAACGACGAATTTATAGTGGAGCTATCTCCCCTTCCTCTAATTCATCTTCCATTGGTAAAATGTCACCCAGCAATGACCAATACTTTTCTCCAATTGGATCCATCTCTTTCGTTGACAAAACTTCTGAATCAAAAGTTATGCATGTATCACCAACTACAGATGCAGTTTCCTCGACAACTGATAACATGTTTAATGACTTGTTAGAGGTCTGGAATGCTGTATTTAACCTGTCACAACTCAAGAGATCTGAAATGTGTGAATCTGATGATCCACCATCCCCTATATCCTCCTCCCTAAACATCACTCCCTTGGGACTTGGACAATCACTGCAATTTAGCACTTTTGGCTCAACTTTTCGAGGAATGGGAGATTTGATTACTTCAAAATCATAGTTGTGCGATGGCAGAAAAACATAAATGACAGGGTACTCCAAAATAGCTTTATTGGCTAGTTGCTCACGCAATGGAGCTTTTGAATTCAACTCATAAAAAGGTGATTTCGACCCCTGCAATCAAACAAATATTAAACTCAGACATTTCCTTCAGCGTTATTTACTATAAATAGCTCATTCAAGGATCATATATATACCAAAAAACACAATACACATCCAGGAAAAAAAAATTGTACCCACAAGAAATAAATGAAGAGTAAGCAGAATCAAATCACCCAAACATTGTTTAACAAACATCCAGGATCATGCAGCACGTGCACTGACAGATGTCATTGTTATCCAAAAAACAGGACTAAGAGTTGATCTATTCAAAAAGTAAAGGCTCTTTAAGAGAAAGTACATGAGCAGCTTTTCGCATCAAAACAGCATGCAAAGAAGAACAACATAATGGTTTTACACACAACACAAGCATCAACTTAAATAGAAGACGATACGCTTCCTATTGTAACACTTAAATAAATGAACTACTTACAGAAGTTATCACGTCTTGAATTCAGAACAGAAATCACAGAAGGCGAGAGGATTGTGTCTCTGAATGTGCGTATTTTATCCAGAAGTTGGAACTTTGTACTCAAATATATGTAGAGAACAGATTTTATAAAGCAACTTTGACCGTGCATACTCAAGAACATGATCATATCAAACAAGATTTAAAACAAAACAAAGAGAGAGACCTTTGAATGTTTGCGAATGAAAAGTTTAAGACAGTCCAAAGACTCTTCACAAAATTGCTTCAGTGGATGATTCCAGGGGCCAGGTTTCAAATGAGTCTCAAGCACATCGATGAGGCTTGTGTTTTCATGTACTCTGCAACGAAAGCAATTGTATAACTACTCAAAGCTTCTCAAGGTGATGCTAATAGTATACAGATCAATACTATTTAGATCAAAATAGAGAATACTCAAAAGGGATAAAGTTCTAGGACATTTACCCATGGTCAGTCAAGACAACGTCTGTTGAATTAAACCGCCATTCAATTGTCCAAGATATGAACTTATTCCTGGGGAAAATACATAAAAGTCCTGTGCATTAATATTTCTGAAAATATACTGATTCATACCAAGATAAGTTAATAGATGCTCATATCCTTGGTTCACAAAGAGCAGGGGAAGAGACGCCAATGAAAGACAAAACAAATATACTAATACTTGAAGATAAGAATGATGATAAGTCAGCAACCAAGTCTTGACTAAAGCTAAACTGTAGCAGAGTTCTCCATCACCTACAAGACAGTCCTCCCTAGATTGTTAAATTGAGAGAAAAGTTACATGGGAATCAGACATTGCCTCAGCAACAAGAACTTGGTAGTAAGAAGCTGATCAAGAGAATCATCCATGTAACTCAGGAAAGTAACCAAGGAAATCTTTCAGGGGACATTAGACAAGCTATAATATGCATCTTACTCCCTTATCAAAAAGTAGTATGCATCTGACTACTTCTCAAGCTGTCACAAGCATAGTCTTTCATTCAGACTTTGCCGCGTTCACTAAAAGTCCAGGTAGAACAGCACCCTCTTCAGGCTATGCAATGTTCCAAGGACAGGCTTCCACCAATGACCGACAACATGACTCTTAACTTTCCTTTGAGACAAGAATCTCATCCACTACCGAGTCTACGATACTATTGACACACACTAGCAGGGGCAGCTGGTCATGACTGGATGCACAAGAATATATTTATCAAAGCCCCTCTAGGAAAGGCCTTTTTCATCGATAAATGCTATGTGGCCCAACAACTATAAGCTTCAATCACATATTTGCACCTAATACTAATTCAGTTATGCATGCTCTATCAATCATGTACGTGTTTTAAATACAAGTGTTACGCTACCTATGCCAGAGAGAAACCTACCGATGCACCTCACCTCTGTGGCAATGGCACCAAATGTATTATCATGCGGATGTCATTTAGCAAAAGCATATCCAAAGTCTTGCAAGCAACTTCCATTAAGCTAAGCGAGCTAGAAGATAAAGTGATTCTTTTCTGTTCTTTGCTTTCACCTCAATTTTGTTTGGTTTCCTCTTTGGGAGTACTCCCTCCGTTTAAATTTATGTGGCACCGTTTGACTAGGCACAAAGTTTAAGAAAGAAAGGCAGATTTTTTAAATTTGTGGTCTAAAACAAACTTAGACATTTGTGTGGTTTTAAATCATTTCATTTAGGGTATTGGAGAATTTTAAAGTTAAGTTGTTTCTAATTATAGAAAGATGACATTCTTATGTGCGAAAACCTAATCAATTACAAATTGTGTTTAGATTAGACTAGAAACATTATTTTATTTATTTTTTCCTTCTTTCATTGTAGAAATTCCCATCAGAGATAAAATTCCTTCTATTTCGCCTTATACCGTGCATTCTCATTAATTTATTTATTTTTCTGCACTTCAACAATCAAGAGTTGGTAGTTTAACAACATTTTCAACTATGTTGGAAAAGGATGTTAGTTTTTTTAAGGTGACAACTCAAAATAGAACTCTAAGTTGTATCCATACCTTAGTGAGAGGATCAAGTCATTACGTAATTCTGAACAAGTGATATAAAATTATTTCCACAGATGCTACTAGAGTGACTCTAAACAAGGCGAAGTGATATGACAAAAGATGGAAATGGAAGAGTGGAAGGGAGAAAACGATGTCAAATGCTAAGGTAATAGTTAAACCAAAAGGCCGTTTGCAAACTTTGCACTTTTATGACAAGCAGTTTTTTACTATAAAAATACATACAAGTTGACACAGGAAGGGGTTCTCCATTTCTTCAGTTTCTGGGATCCAAAATCAAGTCATTTGAAGGGATTCGTTCCGCAAAACTGGTAATATTATAATCAAATCAGAGAAACAAATACCATAAGCATGATGGGTTGACCAAAGAGCAGAATATCACTGCAACCTTATGCATTTGAGATCAACAATTTACCTGTTGTTGTAATAAGTTTGATTTTTCTCCCTCTTTGACATTCCACTGGACAGAAAGTGTATTTTGGTTCTGCGACTGTCTGCAGCTCTACGAAGGTTTTTAAGAGGGAAAGGAAGCTTAAAACGAGAGTAGCCACATAGCTTCTGTCTCATTCTTCTTGCGGATTCAGCAAATCTTTTAACATCCTCAAGCATATTATAATCTGCAGTAGGAAGAGGTTCTCAGATAGCACATCATAATCAGAAAAATAAAGAGAGAAATGCAAAGTAATACTATAGTTCCATTGAGTGCAAATGAATCTAAAGTAGGAGCACCGAATAGATAATAATAACAACAACAACAACAACAATAATAATAATAATAATAATAATAATAATAATAATAATAAAACACCTTGATAAATGCTGCAATGACATTCTCAACAACATTTCATTACATCTGATGCAAGTCATGTTTCAAGAAAAAAATATCAAAGTAAAGCAAAGGTCTTTTTCATCGATCAAAGACAGAGACTTGCATAAAAATGTCAACAACAAAGGTAATCAATCTTTAGACACTGGTTTCGCCAAAATGGTCAAAAGTAAAGAGTTCAACAGAAAGCATTACATGGGGAAAAAAGACCGGAAAAATCATTTTGAAGAAGATTCCACGCAATTTGAGTCAAGTTTGTGTTTCATGATTTTGACAAGTGCAGCAGGTCACAGAAAGAGAGGGAGACAAATTGAGAGTAAATGAAGGTCCTATTCCTCAATCAAGGAGTGCAGCTATCTTGAAGAGTAAAGACGTGAATCCGGTCATTCAGAGGGCAGTGAAGAGGCCAGCAGGGTGGCAGAAGAGATATTTGTCACCAAGGAGGGAAGGAAGTGCTTATTAAGAGCAATTTATCGAGTTTTCCTACATATTTTTGAAATTGGTAACATGAGTATTCATACATATTGCATGTCCTTTTCGATGCACACTCTGTTGTTATAGGAAAGTTGGAAAGGTTGCAAGGAAACTTTTTTTGGGATGCAGCAAATGGGGCAAAGAATTTTTACTTAGTACCATGGGAGACCATGACAGCTCCTAAATGGTGGGGGGAGGCTTGGGGTTAAAGACTTGAAGGTTTTGAACAAAGCACTTTTGTGTAAATGGTGGTGGAGATTCAGGGTGGAGGGAGAAGCTTAATGGAGAGCGATGTGACAGTGAATCAATATGGAGTAGCGGAAAGGGGATGGAGAACAAATGTGATTATTATGTCTTCAGGGTGTGGTGTGTGGAGAAATATAATGAGGGGGTGGGTAGCCTTTAATGATAGCATTGCTTTTAAGGTTAAGGTTAGGAATGGAGTTAGATTTGGGAGGGAAAAAGGTGTGTTGGTGTGGTGCTAAAGGATAAATTATCGGTATTGTATAGGACCTCTTGCTATAGAGAATTGTCCGTTAGGGAACAAAAGGGGGATGGGACTTTTTGGGTTTCAGGTTCACTAGGAATTTCCACGATTGGGAGGTGGTCGAGCTTCAAAGATTGCTATTTTACTTTACAAGCAATGTGAGCCAATTGACAAACCCGATGCTTTGAGGTAGGAGTTGGGAAGTAACAAAATATTTTGTGTCAAGTCCTTCTATGAGAAGTTTCTTGTTATGGTGAAGAATAGTTTCCCGTATGATTAGGTCAGTGTTGAAGATAGTGTGCTTCCACGTGATTGGCAACTAAAGGGATGATTTTGACAGAGAATCTTAGAAAAAGAAAAGTTTGCATAAATTAGTGTTTCCTAGGTACGGAGTCGGGTGAGGTACGTGGATCATATCTTGTTACATTGCAAACTATCCCTGAGGTTATGGCGGGATATCTTCATATGGTTTGGTGTTTCTTGGGCTATGCCAAATTCAAAAAGGAGTTGATGTTTAGCTAGAAAAGTGGAGCTAGGAGACGAAGGCACAAGGCCTGGAATATTACTCCTCTTGCCCTTTTGTGGGTCATTTGGAAAAAAAGAAATAGGAGAGCTTTGAAAGGGCAGAGATGAACTCCAATTAACTAGTACCACCATACCAAGATAATAAAAACAAGAATCTTTATGCTCAAATTTCACCAAAATGCTCCAAAGCAAACCAACGAGTTCCACACAAACCAGCAATTAAAGGGGAAGGATGTTGGCAGTTTCAAATAAAATCCACAGATAAGCAAAACAAGAATTGATTTAAAAAACAATAAAAATTCAAACTTTTGCACAAAATAATGACATACCTGATAAAAGGATGTTATCGTCGAATTGAGAAAGAGGGAGAACGTTAGTGAGTGATTTTTTGCCATTGCAAGCAGTCCTTTGCTTGTGGGAATTGACGCAAGGGAGACTACAAGTGCGTACAGAGCAACCTGGGCATTTATACTTCCATGGATTCAACTTGCACTCTTCACATTCAACTGATGAAATTGGGTTAGGGTTTGATTCTTGTTCCTTCTCCATTACACAGCTTACGTTGGGTCTTCAAAAAAAATTCAACTTTTTTGGTGTTTGTCTGCTGATTCTTCAGTTTCTGCTTTCAGGGTTTTGTATTGGCGCAAGGGTTTTATAATTGGAGTTCTAGACACTTCCAATTCTAAACACTTTCCAATTAGATGGACACAGTATAATTATTCGTGTATTGTTTTAATACACAATTATAATTATAAAATTATATCATAAATTTTAAAAATAAAAAATTAATTATTTAAAATTTATATTAGACAAATAAATTCTTTTATAAAAGTTATTTAATTAATTATTTGAAATATATTTTTTTTGAAAAATATTAATTAATAAACATGTGTTTTTAATACTGAAAAAAATAATTGATTTATATTTTTCTAATTATTATATTTCAATTGATTTAATCATAAAAATTAAAAGCACAAGATTTCTACGAACGTCATGAAATGCATGTTTGACAGAAAGACTAATATATACATAAAATGTCATAAACTATTAAAATATTTGACAAATAGATAATCTATCAATTCTAATTAAAAGATAAATGACTTGCAATGTGAAGTCTCAAGTCAATACTATTAAAACAAATGAAACTAAAAATACACCATATGCTCTAAATTCAAAACAAAAAATTTAACATGTACTCTTATGTCAAATTTCAACATAACATACATAAATATGATTTAAAATAACATGTTAATGTAAATTTATAATCTTACTCAACAATGAATTCTACTTTAATTTAAAAATTAAAATACTAGCAAAATTGTGCTAATGAAATAAATAAACATAGCATAAAAATATAGATAATACGAAACTTACATAGAATCACGTAAAGTAAAGATTGAGAATGAGAAAAAATGAAATATAAATAATATATACGATAAAAAATAAACATTTAGAATAATAAAAATAAAAAAATAATAAAAATATAAAATAACTAAAAATAAAAAGAAGAAATTAAAATCTTGTAATTATATCATGTAATTACCAACAATTCACATCCCCTTCTTGTTAAAGAGTTATGCCGATTACACTCAATTACTTGCTGACCATGTAATTACATGATCAACCAAACATATTAGATAATATAATTACACCAAATTATATCAAATCTAATTATCGTAATGACTTTCCAAACATGTCCTAAATCTACTTGATGTCAGTAATGGTGACGAAAATAATGGGTTGATGAGAAGGAGAATAAAAAGATGCCATATTTTTCACCTTTTGGTTTGTCAATAACTATTTTCTCGATATAGTTGGAAAATAATGTTGTCAAGTGAGATATACTTTCATATACCACCATCAAATATAGATTCAAGATTTAAATTTTATTGTATTTTAAAATTATAATTTTGACATATTATTTATTAAAAATTTAATTTTCACACACAAATTTATATTTCACATAAAAAATATTAAATTTAAATAAATATAGTGCTACAATGGTTGGGACACAACAGACAAATACAAGACTGGGAGACTGAAGTGAATTGGATGAGCCAAATTGCAAGAAGAAGAGGTGGTGTTGCTGAAATCACAAGTTGTGCGTTTGCAATGGTTGTGAATAAATTGTGGACAACTAGAAATTACATTCGTTTTAAAAAACGACCATTCTCTTCCGAACAGATCATAAAAGATATAGTGCTGCATATACATATTAGAGGAAGGAACAATTCAACATGGAGGGAATGCTTACAGATGCTGCCAAGATATCCCTTTTGAAGATTATAAAGTTTCTTGTTTTTCTTTGTATTAGTTTAGTGAAACTAGCAGGATTGATTGTAAGAACAGTTTGTCTAGGCTACTAATGCTATACTTGTATAAAGTTTGGTTTTATGAAATGAAAGCTGTACTATTGACCAAAAAAAAAAGTGAAATTAAAAAGCTCTCCATGTCATACACCAAGCAATAAGCATAACTGCATAAGTACCCCTAACAAAATATTTATTTAACAAAACATACAAGTACTTATTAAACTCACACAAAACTCAATTATATTTCTTAACTTTTTTAAGCACATTATTAGTAACTGCACAAAAATGTTCTAAGGCTCTTAGCAATTAGAGAAATATTAATTTAACTGTCAAAAAGATCATTCAGATAATCTAGAAAGAAAAAAAGATTACGTAATGATATTTTCCATCAGACTACTAAACTTTTTTATTGAATATAAGAAAAGAGGAAAAAAGCAAAACAAATGTCTTGATAGAGTAAAAAATGGATAAAGAAAGCAGATGAAACATCACCACTGGAAAAAGATAAAAAAAAATATTTGAAAGAAAGACCTCACCGCCAAAATATAACTATTTTTTTCTTAATCAAAGGTCTCGATTTAAACTTGGATATGGATAAATCCTTATAAGAAGCATTCTCTCCGAATGCGCCCCTACTTAATATAAATTAAATTTAATTAGATTTCAATATAAATATTGAACTCCAAATTATAAAATATTTTTTTTTTTTAAAAAAAAAACTCACACGGTAGAAAATCAAATACTATATAGTATAGTCGGAATAAAGTTATTCCTTTTGGAATAAAAAGGCATATAAGCCAATTGGCGAAAACGCGATCCATAGAACCCCTCAAAGATTACTATACACTTTTCTTAGATCTCACCAGCAATCCCCTGAATCCCAAGAACCTCCCAAATCTTCAGTCTCAGATCTCATCAATTTTACATCAAAGCTGTTTAAATGCAGTTACTTTAGGAAATTTTCTTGATTTCTTGATTTGGGGTGTCTTGTTTTCTTGTGCTCGATCGGTAACTTACAACATCAAGGTAGAATTTTTACAATGTTTTTGGTCGTTTCTTGGATTTATTGCAATTGGGTAGTGTTGATTTACTGTGAATTTTGATTCTTTAATCTTGCTTTATCCTATGGTATCAATTGGTTATCGTAGGATGCTACCAAGTCTGATTTTTTGATTTGTGTATGAATGGCCTGATTTTGTTTTGCTTGACCAAAATTTGATCATGTGGAGCTGTTATTGGGTGCAAATGAATCTTCTAGCTTACTATTTTGGTTAAAGATTAAGAATCTTTTGTGGGAATTTGGATCCATTGCCTGATGAGACATTATTATCTTTGATTTCCACATCTGAACAAGTTATATCTTCATTTTTGGGCATTTCATGTTGTCAATAAGAAATCATCCCAGAATTTTGGGAAAAATGCAGAGGTTAGTGCTATGCATGTTCTCTTAGAAAGTAGTATAGCGCTTAAGTTTTAGTAGATGGTCAGGAAAGAAAGCTAACTGCATCAGATAATGGACTGAAGTAGGATTATCTCGCCTCAGGTCTGTTTTTTTAAAGCAAAAACTTTCAGAATTTAATAGTTGCAGCAGCTTGAATTTAATTTGTTGGACCTATGAAAAGAATAAAAAGTTAGGCAAAGCAAAGATGTATCCTTATGAATCTTTTTGTAGGCAAACTTAGAGCAACATACATACTTGAATGAAATTGTATTTCCTTGCTAGCCGTTTGGTGCAACATGGCCTTTGTAAATGATGTAGATTCCATGTTAGATATGATCTGGGCTTTGCAACTTTGTAATTATTAATGCACTGTCTTAAGTGTTGTTATACCATTTTTAATATATCATTACTTGTCAAAAAAAGAAGTTCACTATATTGGAAAACCTGAATGCAGTTGTAATGCTGTAAACTTGAAATTTGTCTATGTTTTAACTTCTATGTGATGGACTCGAATCTGCGTGGAGATGGCATGTTTGTGTGTGTTTCGAGGCTAAGTGGGTGCCATAGAGGCAAACATTTGCTGGATGCAAGTTTATAATTGTACAACTTTAAAAAATTTAAATGAAGCTCAATGTTGCATACTTGTAAATTGGAGTACTGTACTCATTAGTTTGAAACTTTGTATTAATTTTTCTTTTCATACTTCCAATATAATCTGGTGTAGACATCTCTGCTGATTGTCATAACCATATAATAACCAATTTTATCTGCTTATTCAGAAAAGAAGAGAAGAAACCAACAAATTTGATCACACTTGATACATTCGATAGACTACACCATAACTCCTCTAAACTAGGCAAAAGGGCAACTAATCAGGCTTATAATAACAGTACTATACGGATAGAGCGGTTGTCGTTGTGTTCATGAATCTAGAATCTTGCTTGTCTTTAATTTTGGAGTTCCATTATTCCTTGTGTCAGTCCAATGCAATAATTGTATCATTAAAAACACAGCTTGTTTTCTCTCTGTATATGTCATAGTAGAAGAACATTCTCGAGCATTAAATGGAGCTCAGAATCTATTATTTTAGTAGTGGATAGATTTGATGATTATCTTTCTATGATAAAGGCTCTTTTACCATAAATATCTCTTTACATTAAAGGTTATTCATGGTATTGAATATATTTTGAAACATCTGTCAGCAATAATATGGTGTAGCAGGTCTTATGGACAGTAAATATATATTAGTGAAGCGGGATTTTTTTCTGATTGGTCAAGGCTCTTGAGTTTTCCCATGTGTCATCAGTCCCCAATATTGATCTGATTCAAAGGCCTGCAGCTCCAGTCCCTACTTCATTTGTTTAGCTAACTCACTTTTAAACATGGTCTAAGTTTGTAATTATTCCTGATCTGGTGGAAGTTTAAAATTTTGATCACCTTCCTCCCCCTCCAACTCAGAAAGAAGAAAAGATCCATTTCTGGAAATGTTCAACACATTTTGTTTTGCATTTGTAGGAGTGAAGTTTTGGCAGTAATATTATTGTTTGTGCCTCTCTAATGTAAATATCTGCAGTCTTCTACCTATAGGTAACCATTTCAGGCTGATCATGAATTAGCAAGCTGACGTTCCTTTGAGGTTTTTGAAAACTTGACTTAGCAAAAGATTTTTGAGATTTCCAAACCCAACTTTTCAAATATTCCTAAAACTCAAAAACTGAGATTTGGAAACTCAATTTGGAAATTTTCATAAAAAGTCTATTTCAAATTTTTTTTCATAAAAAGTCAAATTTGTTCCAGAAACAAGTCAAACAAACACTAACTAATGTTAGTTTCTAACTCAGTATTTGTAAAACTCCAAACATATACCACCTAACGCACATGTACTTTACTTTTTTTCATAGTGGTTGTACAGCTAGTTCACTTTACTGCATGCAGATTCTAGTTTCACTGTTTATGTTGCTAAATCTTTTATCTTTGCCATGATTCATAGTGGTTTTCTCTCTTCTGATAGAATTATTTAAGATGTGGAGATTCAAACCTTTTATGCCCAAGGAACAGACTGGGCTTGAAGGTCGCAGCATTGATATTGGCAATCTCAAAGTTCAAGTGCGCAATGCAATTGCAGAGGGCGGATTCTCTTGTGTTTATTTAGCCCGAGATATGCTACATGGTTCAAAGCAGTATGCATTAAAGCATATGATTGTTAATGATGAAGAATCACTTGATCTAGTATTGAAAGAGATTTCGGTGATGAAATCGCTCAAGGGTCATCCTAATGTTGTTACACTTCACGCGCATACCATCTTGGATATGGGTCGTACAAAGGAAGCTCTCCTTGTCATGGAATATTGTGAACAATCCTTGGTTAGTGTCCTTGAGAACCGAGGAGCTGGCTTCTTTGAGGAGAAACAGGCCCTCTTAATATTCAGGGATGTGTGCAACGCGGTCTTTGCTATGCACTGCCAATCCCCACCCATAGCTCACAGGTAAAGACAAAAACTCTTAAGCCCGATTAGTTTTCTAAAATGATGACGAACTTTCTTTAGCACTAATTTCAGTTGAGGTTAGGCGTTGTTTATAATAGTCTTCACTATGTTTCATCTGTTCAGTGATTTGGGGCTTCATAAATCATAATTCCTCTTCTTTGCTTGCACAATTTCAATATTTTGCATCTTATGTTAAATATGTTGTCATGTAATCCGCATCAGTCTTCAACTCTCTTTATATTTTCTTTCAGCTTAATTTTGTTCATTGCCTTGAATTTCATCTGTTGCGCTTTCCCTTGTTTGTGGTTAGAGCTACTGAGTGATCACTTTTTTTTTTTTTTTTGGAAATGGTTATGTTGTATTCTTCAGCATTAAGAATATGCTGGTGACCTTCAAAAAACGAAGGGGGACAAAAGAAGAGAAAAAAAAATACTTACAACGATCCTAATAATTCTAAAATCTGTTCTGTTTCCTTTAGACCTTTCTCTTTACACCAAAAATAAAAAGATACAATACAATTCCATTTAACCTTCTGCTTAATGGTTCTGTTGATTCCATATACAATCTTATGAGTTTGAGTTGTTTCGTGTTATTGACATAAGCAGCTAGGAACAAAAGTGAACAGTTAAGAGATCCAATTCATTGCAAAACCGTGACTGACTACACTGAATTTATTCACATAAGTTTCTCTTCTGATTTTATTATTCTTTCATTCTGTACTGTGTTTCCTGTTCTACAGAGATTTAAAGGCTGAGAACCTTTTGTTGGGTGCTGATGGATTGTGGAAGTTGTGTGATTTTGGTAGCACTTCAACCAACCACAAACGTTTTGAGAAACCTGAGGAAATGGGAATTGAGGAGGACAATATAAGGAAACACACGACACCTGCATACAGAGCTCCTGAGGTTGATTGAGGACCTTGTTATTGATTATTGTTATCTTTGATGGTATTGATTGCTGACTTCTATATCCCTTCTTTTCTTTCCTTAGATGTGGGATTTGTACCGAAGAGAACTTATAAATGAGAAGGTAGACATATGGGTAAGTTTAGCAGGCTGAAGGAACTTTAAGATGATTTCAGAAACAGCAAATCCTTTACCTAGATTTTATCTTTAACAATCAGAAAAATAATTCTTCTACCTAGATTTACGGGGTTATCTTAGAACACAGCGGCACTTTTGTCTTGCAGGCCCTTGGCTGTTTACTCTTTCGGATATGCTACTTCAAGTCTGCATTTGATGGTGAATCAAAACTTCAAGTTTTAAATGGCAATTACCGGATTCCAGAATTACCAAAATACAGCACTTCCATCATAGACCTAATAAGAGATATGCTTCAGTCATCACCAGATGCCAGACCAGATATCACGCAGGCAAGCGCTTTGCTTGATTGGCCATTCATCTGCATAAACTTAGGTTAGTTGTAGAGTGGTGCTGCCCATAGCAATCATAAGGGCTGACCCTACTCTAAAGCTTTCTAACTCAATTTGTTTTATTTTATGGCAGGTGTGGTTCCGTGTTAATGGCCTGTTGCCCGATGAACTTCAAAAGTCGTTACCTGAAAGACCCCCTGAAATGCAGCAACAGGGTATTGATGGGCATGAAGGTGAGAACGATTTTTCCAGATCTTTCGTTTTTATTGTGAATTACTTATAATAGGAATTTCTCAGGTTTGTGATTGATTAACATTTTATCTGTGAAGTTTGTTGGATGATAACATTGATAGATTACTGCATTCAGTATATCTACTTATTTAGCCCGCTATAATAAAGAACCAATTTCTGTCATTTAAAATTCTTTTCATCAATTATATAAAATCTTAAGTCTCCTTTTCTGGTTCTGGTCTAGAAGTCACCTGAAGTTCCTTAGTAGTCATTTGGACAATAGTTGGTTGAAGTTGAAAAAAAGGTGTATTTGAAGTTGAAATTGACAGATTAGCTGTTTATATGCTTCCATGTTTCCTGTACAGTTGAAATATTTTTGTGATGCTTGTAATGTTACATATGAATTACACATCTTTCTTCTATTGTGGGGAGAGAGGAATGGGAGTTTTCATATGGGACGTGACACCTCTACTATGTTGCGACTGGAGACACTACTAAGATACAAAATCCTGGCTCCACTTCAATGAATCTAATATCTGCTGGATTTTCAGGATTTTCAAGAGCTGCAGGTAAGACTAGTCCAATGCCTAGCAGAAATCCTCCGCCACCTCCTTCGGCTGCTGAACCTAATCATAATGCATTGCCTGCACCACATAATTCAAAAGCCGGTGGAGCTACTGGTCCAATTGGTGCATTCTGGAATACTCAGCATGCAACAAATGCCTCTGTTTCAGAGGAGACAACCAGACCCAAATTTGACGAAGAGATAAGGCACAGTTCCTCAGTCCATGACAAGAGTCATCCCAATAAGGTTCCTGTTTCTAATCGAAATAGCCCTTTGAAAGAGGAAAGTCTCAGCTCCCACCCAATGCAAAATAATGTGCGACCAAAACTAGCCAATAGAGCAGGGGAAGCCCCATCAAGGGATTTTGAGATAAACTTTTTCCAGGATGGTTCAGGTCAGAGTGTTGGGAATAATAAATCGTCAAAGTTAGACGGGCCAACTCCCCCCCAAGGTGAAGGATTCAATTCCTTTGTTGCAGAATTCTGTACCAATAAACCTAGCCCTGGAAATAACACAAAACAACCGGAGAAGAAAGAGCTCATGGAAGCTGAGGTTGAGAAGCTGAAGCAACAGCTGTCACGAGCCAACATGGAGAAGGCTGAAATAACATCTAAATATGAAAAGCTATCTGCAATATGCCGATCACAGCGACAGGAGCTACAAGAGCTTAAGCAAGCTCTTGCTGCCAGAACTCCATCACCAAATCGAGACAACACGAGGGACCACGCGTCTCCTGGAAGTCAAATTCCACCAGTACATCCTTTGCTATTAAACTCTCATTGTTAGTAAAATTTATAATTGATTATTCAATAATTATTAATTCAAAATTGATTTTGATACAGAAAAAAGATAACATTGAAGGAACAGTTTGGGAACTTCAGCAAGGATTATTTGGCCAGAGTCAGGTGAGCTCAGATTCAAAGTCCTGGCAAGCATTTGCTGATGATCCAAAGCAACAAGCCACTCCAGTCAACTCTACTCCTAGATCTGTCAGGACAAAAAATGGCTACCAGAACAGAGAGACATCTGAAACTAATACATCAGCATTTGGAACGGATAGCTTTAGAGCTGTGCCAGCTTCCAGCTCTCAGATAAAGGCCAATTTCAACGAGTCGAAAAATTCTCAGCGTTTTGGTGAACCAAAGAATATAGATAGCAAATCAGCTTCCCAACCTGCTGGATGGGCAGGTTTCTAAAAGATGTTATAGCTAAACTTAGTCCGGCAAGGCAGTCAGTCAGTCAATTTAACAATTTGAGATTTCCTTTACAGGATACTCTTCCTATTATAGAAGAATGAATTGAGGGGATGTAAAAGAAACACTGGTCCAGTTGTTTTGCGCTCTTGGTTGTTTGTGTAGATTTTGAACCTATTATCATATCCATTAGCTTCTGGTGTAGTTTTGATTTGTTATCCCCAATTGATTGTTGTAATTTATTTTGTTGTGTTGATCAAGCATATGCACTCTTGCAGATAAATTTGGATCAAACATATAGAATGAGCTTGTGAGTGGCACCCAAGGGTGTGACTTGGTAGAGGTGTGACCCTAAGTGGAAAACAAGTAAAACTAGTGTGAGAAGTGTCAGTTGAAAAATTCAATGTCTTTCTTTTCAACATGGGATCAGTTGGGATTTATCATCCTGATGATGAACTCTCAAAAACAGGAAGACGTTTATTCAAACTAGTTAGTGCCCAGTCGATGAAGGAATATCGTGTTGCATCTCCAGCGAGAATGGCGTTCACCTTCTTGTGATTTTGCATTAGCCAATAAATGCTCAATAACTTCATTTATATTCAGCAGTTGTCACTTGTTGTAGCTTTGGTGATATCTATGTACCTTTCCTCTTAGGAGTTTGACATGGGCATCTACTAGTATATGCTTGCCCTATGTTCCTCACACGTCACATCCGTGTCGGATTCTTCAAAAACACGGAGAACCTGACACGCACCCGTCCGCATTTTTCAAGAGTCAGAGCAACATTGTTATTTGGAAAAGCAAGAAACACAAACAGGTCCAATCTCATATGGGCTTACCATCTTTTTTAGCCTTAGGCCCAAAACAAGATATGCAAAGGCAAAAATGAAAATGAAAATCCACATGGCAAATATCCATTTGTTAATAAAGTAGCACGCGGATTGGTATCCTAGCAAACATTTACTAATCAAATCTCTACCGTCCAAATTTTATGATCCAACGGATGTTATCAATTTCGAACTCCCTTCCAAATTTCCTATGATTCCCGCTTACTTCACTCCTATATAACATCTCTCAAATTCACCTTTTTTGCACAGTCAAATCACTTCCCATTCTCTCAATTTGTTTCTTCATTTTAGCATACAATCAAAATGGCTCGTACCAAGCAAACTGCCCGCAAATCCACTGGTGGAAAGGCTCCAAGGAAGCAACTAGCTACCAAGGCTGCCAGAAAGTCAGCTCCGGCCACCGGAGGAGTGAAGAAGCCTCACCGTTTCAGGCCAGGAACTGTGGCCCTGAGAGAAATCAGGAAGTACCAGAAGTCTACCGAGTTGTTGATCAGGAAGCTGCCATTTCAGAGGCTAGTGAGGGAAATTGCTCAGGATTTCAAGACAGATCTGAGGTTTCAGAGCAGTGCAGTGGCTGCTCTACAAGAGGCTGCTGAGGCTTACCTCGTTGGTCTCTTTGAAGATACCAATCTCTGTGCAATCCACGCAAAGAGGGTTACCATCATGCCCAAGGATATTCAGCTTGCTAGGAGGATTCGAGGAGAAAGGGCTTAGGAATCTTCTTTTATGTTTATGATTAATTTGTGTTCTGTATTAGGGCTTTGTTGCTTCTTCTGTTGAATGTTAGTGTAAATCAAATTATGTAAACCTCTGGTTTAGTACTATTTTGAGATCTGATTAATGAAATCTGTAGTTCATTTTATTACAATTAAAGGTGCTGCTCATACTATGATTTGGAGTAAATATTGCGTTATCTTCTTTATTGCTTTCGTCTTTTTGTAGTGTAGATTGTAGCGCTTTCATTAATTGTTCTATTTTGTACAAAGTTTCATTTGTTAACATTTTGATTAATTGTATGCTGCAATTGAGGGAAGCAATATAAGCATTTAGATTTCAATTACTATAAGAAAGGGCCAGCTGGTGCTGGACACTTTTGATAATCCTACATTATACAGAAAAGTATATTAGAAAGGGTGGTTCATGTATGGAACCCTAATACTTTGTAGTGCCTAATGTTAGACAGTTAGAGCTATTTTTAATTCAACAACTACTTGACAGTCCTCATTCATTAGCAGTATCATTCAGAGGTTGAAGTGGTAGCTGTTTTGCGTTTGATTTTAACTTCTTGAAACATGGTGCTGCAGCTGTTGCATTTAAACTGAGACTGAGCTATTCTTTTTCAGATTTCATCTCCAGCTAACACAGGGCTGCCCCAAATGTAGACCACAAAGTTGTAAGTTGCTCAACTCATTTAAACTTTTGAGTTATGGACTAGCTATATATTCATTATGATTATCAAATTGAAGAGCTTGAATTTTGTTTGGGCAAATGTACTGTTATGTTAAGTGTTGGTGTAATTATTATCATCTTGAACAAAATTAACATATATAAAGATAAAGTGTAGAGCTGTTTGTTCACTTAAATTGTTAAGTCTGTAATATTTTGCTTTAGTTTAAAGTTTCCATGAACCTGCTGCTATATATATGAGAATGCTTCTGTGTATGTAAAGAATTCTGTAACAGTCTAAATTAAGAAGATTGTGCCTTTCTTACATCTATAATGGGAAGGCTGCTTCGCCTATTCTAATACTTCTGTTTTCTTAAACATTACTTTGCCTTTTACCCCCACCAATCCCCCCCTTGCAACTTTAAAGTGTCAACTGTTTGAAGCTAAAACAAGATGTACATAACCTGATTAGACATTGACATTTGAAATTTTATTTTCTGTATTTAAATAGACAGCTTTAGCATGTTGACATTGAGGAGTGCAGCACTTCCACGCAGAGGTTTTTAATGACATCACATTAAATTTTTTAAAGGTGTTCAGCCATGAATACAAGTATTAGGAGAACAGCGGAAGCATTCTAATTCATTGCAGATCTGGAAACAAACCAGACTATAGGAAAATAAGGCTCATGTGCTCTGCTGCTCCTAACAATCTCTACTCTTATTAATTCAACATTGACTAAAAAAATCCTTGCTATGTTGAATGAAAAGTGTACAACCTTTGCATTTACTTACTCCTCATAAGGTAATTTTAGTTTTGTTGTCTTGCAAAATAAGTCTTGTTTATTTTTTCTCTCCTTTCTAACTTGAGATGAACCAGTACTTTCAGATGTCTTGTCTCTGCAAGTCTTTCTATATTAAATTTGAACTTCGAGCTGATTGAGTTTGTGAATGTATGACTATGAAAAGGGGATGTGTTAGTTACTAGTTACAGTCTTACAGATTAGAGAGCCCCTTTACTTAATAATTATTTCTTGCTTAAATAGGTGATCGATTTTCTGTAGAGAAAAGTGTAATCAGTTTGTTGGCTCCTGATGTTTTAAGTAATCATCTGGCTCGAGTAGCCAAGAGAAAACGTAGAGCCAGGACATAAGTTTGCATGTCCTTCGAGCTGTTTTTATGAATGTAACTTCTCTATTTCAAAGTAAAAGATCATTCATACATACAAAAAATGAAGTGAATGCTGATGCTCTCCAAAATTACAAGACAAAAAAGTAAGACAACTCAAATCATCATAATCTCAAAACCTTTTCCTATTCCAACAGCGCTTGGGAGCAGGAGGGTCATTAGCAGCTTTAGGCATTTGATGAAAGTCTACCAATACAATCCGTCTCTTGGCTTCCCTTTGATCTGCTAACCTTTGCTCGAACTTCCTCTTGCTTGATTCAAATTTCTTCTTCATATCACTGTCGCTTTGTGTTTCTTTTTGCATTGGTCTTGCAACTGCATAGCTTTGTGATGTTTTCTGCATTGGTCTTGTACTTGAACTGCAGTTGCTTTGTTTTGGATTAGGAGGAGGAGCAACTTCTACATTCATCTTCATCAACGGAGGCAGTATGCTCTTTGTTGAACCAGTGGTGCACTCTTTTCTCCTGCATTGGGTAAGGGTCTGTTGTGCTCCTTCTTCTCTCTTCTTTTCTGTGTCACTCTCCATCTTCTTGAAACCTTTGTGACTCTGTTTCTGGAGTTGCTTGTCTCCGTCAAGGTGCTTCTCGAAAGAAAAATCAGAAAGAAGTTGTTTTACACGGGGAGGTTTGGTGGACTGGTTCCTCTTTCTTGATTGCATAGTAGTAGTATTATGGGACTGTGGTGTTCCTTGTTTATCCAATTGTTGAACCAAGTCAGTTTTCTTCAACTCTGTGCTGCTTTCTGTTATTTCACTGCAATTGTTCTGTTTCTCCGCAGGAGCAACTTGTACAGACTTGCGGATGACTATTCTAATCTTCGTCACCAAGGGTTTGTTGCTTTCGGCAGTTATTTGTTGTGTTCCTAACCCATCCGCTTCTTCTTTCTCAGGCTCTTCAATGCTGGTCACGTCATCTTGATCACCAACATTGTCCTCGATAACCTCTTCTTCTTCTTCTTCATCATCATCATCATCATCATCATCAGTTGATGTTATCGAGGGATTCATCAGGAACTTGATTATTCTGGCTTTGCGCTTTTCGAACTGTGGCTGATACTTGAATGCACCAACACGCAGAGCTAATTCGATCAAGTTGAAAATATCGTCAGGCTGCTCCTCGATCTTGTAACAACTCATGAAAACTCTTTCAATATCCATTGTTCTCACACTCACTCGAACAGGAACAACAATTATGAGGAAAAAAAGTAATTTGTTAAAAGTGTAATAAGAAACTTTAACTCATCAAACCCCTCTTATAAAGGATTTTTAGAAACTTATTCCCCTTTTCCGATGTTGTTTAGGAGTGGCAACAAATTTAGAAACTTTCTCTTTTTCCCGTATTATTTAGGACTGCCCATAAATTTTCAAAATTATTTTTTTCCCTTTTCCTATATGTTTTAGGAGTAGGGTGCCTTGCAAGTTGCAACCTTGAAGTAACAATAGTGATATTTATTTTATTTTTATAGTCAAACGGCCACTTAGCTTCTCTCTTTTGCTATTCACACTAAGATCCTTTTTGCACAAGTACCAGCGTAAGAGAAAGTATGATTAAACCAACAGTTCAGCTAAGATGATAATATACAATTACTAAATTCTAAATCATCAAAAAGATTTAAGACTCGGATTAAAAGATAAAAGAAGACTTAGCAGATCACCACTGAAAGAGTTGAGTTTCTCTGTGTATTTTTTTTTTCCTTCCTTTAGTTGTACAAAGACTCTTCTAAATTGGCATGAGCCAGGGCTTGATCGTAGTTTGATCTTCAAGTAATT